TCTCCCTAATGAACATAGATGCAAAAATCCTCAAGATAGTAGCAAACAGAACGCAGCAAATGATCAAGAAATTTATATACCACAACCAAGTGGGCTTCATCCCAGGGATGCAGGAATGGTTGTATATGCATAAATCAAATGTAACACACCTATATTAACAGATCCATGGACAAAAACCACACAATTATCCCAATAGATGTAGGAAAAGTCTTTGACAAAGTCCAGGACCATTTATGATTTTTAAAAAACCCTACAGAAAGTAAGAATAGATGGTCTTTATCTCAATCTGATAAAAGCCTTCTTATGACAAAACAACAGCCAACATCATACTAAATGGACCAAAATTGAAAGCTTTCTTTCTAAAATTAGGAACAAGACCAAGATGTTCACTGTCTCCACTCTTATTCAACATAGTCCTAGAATCTTTATCCAGAGAAGTTAGACATGAGAAGGAAATAAAAGGAATAATAATAGGAAAGGGAGAAGTTAAATTATTATTATTTGTGGATGACATGATGCTCTATAGGAAGACCCCATAAACTCCAGAGCTAGATTTCATAAATAAATTCAGTAGCATAACTGGATACGAGGCCAACACTCAAAAATCATGAATAACAAATTTATCAAGAGAGAAATTAGAGAAGCCACATCTTTCACAAAAAATGAAATACTTAGTAAATAATCTAACAAAGGATGTAAAAGACCTCTACATTGAAAACTACAGTACTCTGAAAAAGGGTAGTTGAAGAGGACATAAAATAATAGAAAGATATCTCTTGCCTTAGGGTAGAAAGAACCACTATAGTGAAAATAGCTACACTTCCAAAACTATTATACAGATTTATTGCAATTCTGATCAAAATTCCAACAGTGTATCTCACAGAATTAGAGGAAACAATCCTAAAATTCATTTGGAACCAGAAGAGACCTAGAATAGCAAAAGCAACACTGGGAAACAAGGGCATCACAATCCCTGACTTGAAATTATTCCATTAAGCTACTGTGATAAAGACAGCATGGTGGTAGCAAAATAAAAAGACCCAAAAATCAGTGGAACAGATTAGAAGATTCAGAAACAACTCTAGACACACTCAGCCACCTCATCTTTGGCTAAGATGCCAAACACATTTACTGGAAGAAAGATAGCATCTTTAATAAAGGGTGATAGAAAAAGCTCTACACATGCTGAAGATTAAAATTGGACCCATATCTTTCATCAGGCACTACACTAAAGTAAAAATGGATCAAAGATCTAAATATTAAAACAGAAACATTAAATCTCTGGAAGATAGAACAGGTAAAATTCTTGAGGATATTAGTGTAGGCAGGCTTTATGAATAAAACGCCATTTGCACAGGAACTATGACAAAGAATCAACAACTGAGGTCTCATCTTATTAAAAATTTTTTCCATAGCAAGAGAAACCACCAACAGAATAAAGAACCCACAATGTGGGAAAAAATGCTTTCCAGGTGTTCCTAAGGCAAAGGATTACTATTGAGATCATATAAATAACTCAAAAAAAAATTAGACCTCCCTGACTTAACGACAGAATCCAAAAATGGGCATCTGAGATGAATACACACTTCTCAGAAGAAGAAATAAAAACTGCAAATAAATATATAAAATGTTCAATATATTGGGCTGGTGAGATGGCTTGGTGGTCTAAAGCACCTACTTAGAACAAGCTTAGCAAAGCACAGGGACCGCGGTTCAATCCCCCAGCACCACATGCCAGCCAGCCCTGCCCCCTGGTGGGCTGAGCTGCCCCCCCACACACACACATGAATAAATAAAATTTTTAAAAAATGTTCAATATCATGGTCATTTAAGAGATGCAAATCAAAACAACACTGAGATTCCATCTTACTGTAGAAAGAATGGCTAGCATCAAGAAATCAACCAATAACAAATGCTGGAGGGGCTGTGGGCAAAAAGGAACCCTTCTCTACTGCTGGTGGGAGGGTAGACTGGTGCAACCACTATGGAAATCAGTGTGGAGATTCCTCACAAAACTAAGACTGGAGGGCTCATTTAACCCAGCTAATCACCTTCTGCATATCTTCGCAGAAGAATTAAAAACATCGTACCACAGTAATATATGTGCACCCATGTTTATAACAGCATAATTTGTAATAGCTAGATGTTGGAAACAACCCAAATGCCCATCAACTGAGGAATGGGTAGATTTTAAAAAATCATCTTTTTACATAATATTCTCAGCCACAAAGAATGATAAACTGGAGACTTTTATAGGTAAAAGAAAACAACTTGAGACCACATTTATAAGTGAAATAAACCAGACATACATGTGTAAACATCATATTATTTCCCTAGTGTGAGAAGCTGAAAGAGTGAAAAACAAAACAAACATAGATATAGATATAGACATTTATACTACTAAATGTTTGGACAATTGAATATCTTATACATTGAGTAATTTAAAGATAACAAAATATACAATATATCAATGATTGTTACCCTCCTAGTATTTTGTTTTGCTTTTCTTTTTAAAATAAGGAAAAGAAAGAGAAAGGCAAATTGGCACATAGATACATACACAAATGAATAGATAGGTACACACAGCATAATGTGTTCTGCAAAATAGTTGATTTAACTATAAGAGTCTGTGAATTCAAGCTCCTTGTCCTCCATGAATACTCAAGTATATTCATAAAATTCCTGCCTATTAAAAAAGGGGGAGACCAAATAGCTCAGCAGATTAAAGCTCCTGCAAGTAGGCACAGGGGCCTGGGGTTCAATCCCTGGGCCTGCTGTGCTGGCCCCGCCCCTGGGGCACACTGAGACTGGGTGTAGTGGCACATGCCTGTAATCTCAGCTCTTGTGAAGCTGTAAACAGGCGGATCACTGCAAGTCTGATCTAGTAGTAAGACCCTGAACACCCTGTAGACCCTTCCATAAAATACAAAAAAAAAAAAAAAAAAAAAAAAAAAAAAAAAAAAGAAATGAAAGGGGGGGGTGGATGTGGAGAATAATGGCTCCCAAGTACCCAGTATATGTCCTGCTAAGGTAGCAGTTGTGATTCCGTTTACACACGGAGCATGCATATGCCAATAGAGACAAAGATATAGGTATCGCACATCAATTAGCCCAGAAATCCCAGTTCTGAGATCCGTACAACTGATTTCCACTGACTTAGTTTGGGGCAGAAATTAATACGTGCGACCATGACATGTAACTTTGTAGAAATTGAATGCAAATGACCTCAGTGTTCATGCACACAATATGGACAATATTCATATGGCTCAATATTCAAATGTGCCTCTTCTCAAGGCACCGCAGGCTGAGAACCCGTTCCCCAGTCAGCTCCCTGCTCTGAATACCTTGACTGCGGGACAAGGAAACACCCACTTCACAGAATAAGCCGCTCTGTTTTTCTGCTTTGTGAAGAGAGACTAATCTCTTGCCTTCTATTAGCCACACATTTACTTTTAGTAGCTGAAATAAAATTCTCACGACCTACTGTGTCCTAAAACTCCAGCTGCTGAAGCCTGCTTTTCCACATTTTACTGAGAAGCACTTCCTGTAATTAATTACCTTATCTTCCTCTGTGTGAGAAAAACAAGTTTAATGCATTTTAATAAGGAGGTTGGAAGAACAGGAGACATTTTATTATCATCTTGATTTTGATAAGACTGGGAAAAAGCTGGTTGGTCGGTGACTACTGACAATAAATAATGTTTGTGCCCTTTTATCAGCCTTGATATCGGAACTTCAGTATTTCTTATAAATATATTTCTGATTAGTTCGTACAGTGGAGAACACCTTAGCAGGCCAATGCCACTGGATAGCATGATGGCTTTAAAGTCCCTTTATCTTTATAGGTACATGTAATCTCTTACGTATAGTTGTCAGCTAAGTGACCTACAGGGCTGAGAATATTAGAAGACTAGTTCTTCCAAAAATCTGTTCTTGACTCAGGGAAAACATCTCAGTTGCCATTTTCTTATCCATACTTGGGAGTGGAAAGGGGGGACGAGGGGAAAGCCTAAAAGATCTCTAACATCTCGTCCACATTCAATATTCTATAATTACAGTTAATTAATTTGGAAGATAATCATTTAATTATCAAAATTATTCTTGCTTTGACATTTTTAAAGTTGAGTCTTTAATGAGATGTCCACATATCTGGGGCTAAATTTTCATCCACCTAAAACGAAAACTACGAAAAGCTTTTTCCTTAGAAAACCGCAGTTTATGAAGTCACGATGGGCCCTTCACGACAGAGCTCCGTGGCGCGCAGTCGCTGCTGCGTGGGTTTCCGTCCTTCCCCACGCTGCGGCCCGGAGTGCGCCTGTGTGTCCTCGCATTGTGAGAGGGTGACTGTGCTGCGCAGAGCACGCGGAGGTCCTGGGCGGGGACACAAGGAAGTGTTGGGGAAAATTCTTCACTTTCCCGAGGATAGTGATGTCTCTTAGAAAAGTCGCTTTCGAGGTCCTCCATACTGCGCTGCTCAGGTCAAGGGCAGAAGAGGATGAGAATGGACACCTCACACCCCTCAGGGTGCCCTCAGCTAGGCGTCAGGACGTCTTTTCTGCTACAGTGAGAGGAAGGAGACTGACTTGATGGAACTGGGGTGAAGTAGTACCCCCGTCACCCACTCTCACTTGGCCCTCCTGATGCTTTCCGTCCTCCTGCCGCGTTCGTGCTGGCGATGGCACCCGCTTCACCTCCTGCTGCAGGCTGCTCGGCGCCAGCCTGCAGCAATGTCCGGAGGCGACTGCACGGCCTCTCGGGGAGCGCTTGTGAGGACCGAACCACCTGAGTTGACTGTTTCCTCTGCTAGGCTCCTTCCTCTGTCACTTCTTTTCCTCCCTCCCTTCACTCCCACCAGCCCCTTTCGAAAAGTACAAATATTCAAGTAGTCCCCTGGGTCCTTGTCATCTTTGTTGAAGTGAAGCTCAAGCCCTGGCCTTGTGCGGTTTAATTTTGTTTTAAAGAATCAATGCCTCCCCCGGGCAGTCTGCCTAGTCAATGATGTTGCTGCTGCAAAACTCGTGTAGGTAACCATTTCACAATGTCAAAGAATTTTAGTTGCCATTTTATACCATAGAACATGTGTGACTATTATACTGAGGAAGGAATGTATTTTTTTGTGGTACCAGGGATCGAACTCAGAACCTTCCACTTGCCAGACAGACCCTCATGCCACAGGGCTATATCTCCAGCCCCTTGAGCTACATCCCCGGCCCCTAGATATTCTTACAATAAGTTGTTGGCACATTATTAGTGATCGTCAAACCAGAACCACTGAGATTTTTTGAGCACTTAGTCGCAGCTCCCTTTTTAAAAGAGTTTGTTGCAAAAGGATTACATCTGTTTACCAAGATATCCGTTTTCATTTATTCTTCGAGAATTCTGCATATTAAATCGTCCTGGAATTTCTCTTTTTTCTGCACTCAGCAAGCTGAGACAGCATCATCATTGATTTCTGCCTCAAGTTAGAGCAAACATATTTATTTCTCCTTTTTCTACCAAAGAAATAAAATCTTTATGTGCTGTGCCCGTGGGTTAGAGAAAGTAACAAAGGGGCGATTGTTGCAGGCCGCGGTGTTGCCCAGCCTCAGAAGTAAGAGCTGACCGGCATTCTTTCAAGCACTGTCCTCTAGTGGGGAAAATAAATACTAGCGCTCTCACAGCTACCACAGCTGTTCAGGAATGCTTCTCAGGGCCTGCCTGAGCAACGGTGCTTTTTGGAGGAGATACCACCGAAACTTTGAACCATGTGACTTAAAGTAACCTTTAGTAAGACAATCTCAGACAGCTGTGGACCTTCACCTAAGGGAGTCAGGACATTTGAAACAACTGAGTAGATGAATACCGAGGTCAGAGAGGGGCACAAGGGCACAAGCACCGTGCTGAGGCGTAAAACGGAAGGAGGGCACGGTGCCCACATTTTCAAAGACCAGTATTTCAAAGGAAAGGCTGTTGTTTTGGCAAACTGGGTATTCTGAAATTATTCACTCTATGGGGCAAATATTTGAATTTCTTTGAGTGCCTGTTCCTCAAGTCTGTCTGCTTAATGAGACAGCTCTATTAACGTTTTCCAGATGGTTATTTCTTAGTTGTAGTCAGTAAAATGCCTGTTTGAAATTTGGAGTGAATCTTAAACAAGGTCTGTCAGTTAAGATTTTGGGGAAAGGGGCTCATTCAGACCTGGGTTCACCACGCATTACTTGTTCTTTCTAAACCTCAACTTCCTTCACTGTAACATGGGGATCATAACAGCACTTTCTTCAAAGAATTCAGCCAGGAGCCTATGAAAGATGCTTCAAAAACGTGACATAGCTCCTGGATTTTTCACGAACACCAAGTAAATATTAAGTATTCTCTTCAAATTTTTGTAATCTTTTAGACACGGCCTCTGGAAAGCTTTCTACCCTCCCGCCAAACCTGAAGCAATGATTCTTTTGCCTCAGTAAAGCATCTGGGACACTACTTAAAATCTTACAACTTGCAATTTTCCAGTGTTTTCACTTCCCATCACTAAGCCTCGGGTCTGTGGCATGATCACGCGGACTGCTGCTTCCCAGCCTCTGGTGAAGTTTTGTGTTTGACGCCTCCTTAGGGGACAGTTTCATATCAGGTGTCATTTCACATGAAGAAGCCAAGTTTTGTGGCTGCTTAAATGCGCTCAAGAGCACAAATGCTGCCAAACTGACTGTTCTGGCTGTCGGTTCCCAAAATAGTGCTCCAGCCTCCGCACCCAGAGGAGCACAGACCATGACCAAGAGTGCTCCTGGGACGCCAAGGGTGGGAGAGAATCTGTGAAGCATACCCACTGTCACTGCCTCACAGCTTAGGTCTGAAGTCCCTGTAGGTCGCAAGGTAGTCCTCAGTGCACTGTGTCTCTGCACTGAACCGTCCTTTTCTGCGTACACTGGCTAACTGCACAGCTGGAGACGTTTCTGACAGATAAGAGCGGCTGAGAGCTGCAGCCCCTGTCCCATCCCCCAAGATCCGCACCTCTGCTTCTGCCTGAAAGGTGCCCTCCAGCCTTCATTCCTGCTCAGTGTCCTGTGAAAGAGCTCAGGCCGCCACCACCTGATCCCCGCCTTTCATTCCTGCCTGTCTCTGCCCTGTCAGTTGGCTCTTTCCTTAATAAATAAAGCTCAGATCTCCCTTAGGCTGGAGAAGGGAGGTGGGTGAAGTTAGGGCATGGGTCAAAGATCCACAAGGAATCCAATTGCTTTTTTGAAGAAGCAAACACAGCACAACTCCTCCAAAGATAGATAAATAAACTCGTGCACAGATGGCGGAGAACCTGAGTGGAAAACAGTAGAAAGGACAGAGGGGAGGCAAACTTCTCCCAGATTCGCCTTTTGTAAGTAGCGTCTGGGCACATATAAGGAAATGTCAACATCTACTACTGCATTTATCAGAGCTAACGCACTGCAAGAGAAAATGGAAAACTCAGAAGTCTTCTTAATATTGAACAAATTCTTATGCAAAACCTAAGGACCTTATATCTTCTAGCTAATGTGTAGGATATTCATGGAAATGAAACTCACACTACCACATGTGTTTTTATTTTTGAAAACAAAATGAGAGTAGGCTATTACTTCAGGCTCCCCTGAAGCAAATGCTGGACTAGTTTAAATTGTTCTCAATAGAGCAATTTCCTCTCCTTGGACATTATAGGCAGAACTGTCCTAGCACACAAATCCCATATAGGCCCCAGAGGTGTTTTCTTACAGAGAAAAGTAATTATCAAGACTGACAAGGGATGGGCTTAAAACAAGCAGGATGAAGGTTTTACCAGAAATCTATACAAAGGAGGGATAATAATATTTTCAGAGTGAAAAATTCATTATTGACAGGATAGCGAACTTCATTTCTAGTCATTTTGGCTACTTTTAGTATTCCTTTCCTTACAATCACAGCCTGTAAGTAATTGTGTGTATAAAAGTATTTTCTCAAAAGAATATCGAGTGCTGAAAATATGGCAAGATATTTTTTGCAAGAGTGAATCAATAGGAGGAAGAATTCTCTTTTGAAAACATCTCTTAAGGATACATAGAGGGAGGATGAGTCATGTTGAGTCGTTTAAGCATGGAATTGGCCCAAATGTTATTTGTTACTTCTGGGAGTTTGAGAAACCAGGGCTGAGGATGAGAGTAAATAGGTGAATATATACATAAATCCCCAAGTTTAACAAGCGACGCTTCTATGGCTCATGAATCTCCGTCACCTCCCTGATGGTAAACGTAAAGAGGAAGCCATAAACTACAGCTTTTACAACTACGCGTTGGTGTGAGGCAGCATTGTTGTCAGCTCACATTCTGCCTGCATGAAAACGTGAAGGAGTTCGCAGCCGAGGTCAGCAGCAGAGCAGCCCAGGTGTCCACCACACGGCCCCCCACAGACCTGAGGGGCTCTTTGCTGGCATCTCCTAAAACTGGCTTTTGTGGTGTTATAATAAAACGAGTATAAGTTTTCACCAAACTTAGGAGATTCTGGAACTCACATCTTTGACCTCTTCTGAGGCTGTATGACGCTGTGGCAATGAGATACAGTTAGGCTGTCCCATTTCAGCTAAAAGTGCATCTTGAGCTGGGGAGATAGCTCCATGGCTTAAGCGCTTGCCTGGCAAGCATAAGGTCATGAGTTCAATCCCCGATACTAAAAAGTAAAAAATAAAAAATAAATAAAAATACATCTTCCAAAAGTGAATCTAAGTCGAGGCTCAGGGGATAGCTTTGTGGTGTAAGTGCCTGCCTGGCTAGTGCAGGGACAAGGGTTTAATCCCTGGTACCACATGCTGTGCTGCCACGCTAGCCACCAAAACCAGGCATGGTGGCACACGCCTGTAATCCCAGTGCTGGGAAGCCTGAGACAGGAAGATCACTGAGTCTGAGCTGCATAGCGAGACCCTGTACCAAATAAATAAATAAATAAAAGATTAAAATAAAAGCAAAATCGGACCCAGTGCTGTTCATATATAAGACTGGCTGTCTTTTTACATCAGCGAACTTTCTCAAGAGCACAAGCATGGAGCAATGCCCGCTGAGGCACCCAAAGCAGCCTGAGGAATTAAATAAAGGAATAGGCCGTGTGGCAAGCACACACAAAAGACTTTCTGAAACTTCACTGGACAGTGGTTTGGGCTATTCTGACTAGTTGTTTATTTTAAT